TCTTTATTGCACATAGACAATAAAAGGTAAACTTAAAAGGCAATTACTATTTAGTAAGAGTCAGTAATCCTTCCTGTAATGGGTCTAGGATGAAACAAACATTTTTCTTTTTTTCCTGGGGGTTTGGGGGGTGGTGACTGGCTACACCTTGGTGATACATGGGGGTTATTCCTGGCTTTACATTCAGGAATCACTCCTAGAGGGGCTCGGGGGCCTATATGGGATGCTGGGGGACTGAAAATTGGGTCCACCACATACAGTGCAAGTGCCCCACCCGACCGATATACTGTATTTCTAGCCCCCCTCTTCCATGACACTTTAGAGCAGTGGGGGTTTTTTTGGGGGGGGGGGGGTAGGAGGGAACACACGCCTACAGATACACAAGATTCAATTCTGGCCCTGCACTAAGGAATTATACCTGGTAGGCCCGGGGCACCACATGGGATGCTTGATATGAAGTCCAGGTGGCCCCATGCGGGGCAAGTGCTCTCTCTCTCTCCAGCCCTCACCATGACACTTTATAGCAGTTTCCCCCCACCCCCACCCCCTCGCTTTTTGGGTCATACCCAGCGATGCACAGGGGTTACTCCTGGCTCTGCACTCAGGAATTACTCCTGGTGGTGCTCAGGGGACCATATGGGATGCTAGGAATCGAAACCTGGGTCAGCTGCGTGCAAGGCAAATGTCCTACCCGCTGTGCTATTGCTCCAGAAATCACTCCTGGTAGTGCTCTGTGGACCATATGGAATGCTGGGAAATTGAACCTGGTTTGGCCACATACAAGGCAAATGCCCTCCCTGCGGTGCTATCACTCCGGCCCCAGCCTTAGTCTTATACTGAGTTTCTCTGCAGCTTGGAAGGTTCTTTCTTTTCTTTTTTTTTTTTTAAATTTTAATTTTTTTTATTAGTGAAACATCATGAGGTACATAGTCATTTTTTGAGAGCCTGTCTAAAGGCTTCAATGGCTGAAAAGCACTCCTTTAGTGGTTTGGAGTTGGTTTCTTTTGTTTGTTTGTTTTCTTAAGGTTTCAGCATTCACTTAATAATTCTTTAAATTCTCTTTTTAAAAATTAAATTGTGGTTTCTGCCTTCCGACTGGCCGATAGAGGAGGTACTTAAAACTCTGTCTGTATCACCTATTTCTTTATGGTAAGAATTCAAACCGTGGAAATAAATCTCAATGGTACAAGGTGCGGAGTCAAAGGCACAACTGACTCGACACAAATCTCTCCAACTGAAAAGCGAAATTGGAGCCTGGGAACAACGCACCAGCCACAAGCATGATCCCGGCACGTGCAGAGTGCAATCTCTGCCATTAGCCACCTCCAGCACAACCTAGCCGACGCGTGTGCACACAAGCAAAGCAAAACGTGCAGGGGCTCATCTCCAGTGTGACAGTCAAACACAGCAGTGCTGGGGGGGGGGGGGGCTACTTGCAAGAGTGTTGGGGGCGAGAGTGCTAGGGATTGGGCCCAGTACTCCTGCACTGCGAAGCGCTCACTCTGCCCATTGAACTCTCTCTCTCTCCAGGCCACATTGTTATTTAAAATGCGTATCTTCTGGTGGACACCACAGCCCCATGTGTGAGCACTGCGAGCAAAGCGTGTATGGGCACAACTCCAGTGTGAGGCCTCTGGTGGATAACCACCGCCACAAAGTGCTGCAACTCAAGTGTGAATGAGCCATACAGGGCAGTGTGGCACCGCTGGCAAGTGACACCGCCTGCAAGAGTGCTAGCATCCTACCAAGTGCACATGAATCCCAGTCACCGAATCCCAGTCACCGCACCGCTAGCAGGTAACATCGTCAACAGAGCCAAGTGAAAAAACAGACTTAAACTATCTCCCTAACTACAGTTGTGCATCTGCCGAAGGAAGTATTAGCACCTCAAAACTGGATTTAAAACACTTAACATCAAAGCCACAGACACAATATAGGTGTCGAGGCACCTGTCTTGCCGGTGGCCGATCCTGGTTTGAGCATCAGCACCCAACGATCCTCGGAGCACATTGCCGGGAGCATGCCCTGAGCACCTCTGGGTGTTCCAGTCCCTGCAGTCCCCTATACTACTATCATTCCCTTTTATTATTTATTTAATTAGGCTCTTTGGGTCACACCCGGTGCTGCTCAGGGATTACTCCTGGCTCTGCACTCAGAAATTACTCCTGGCAGAGCTCAGGGGACCATATGGGATGCCAGGGTTCAAACCCGGGGCAGGCCGTGCGCAAGGCAAATATGCCCTCCACACTGTCCGATCATTGTGGCCCAGTATCAATCTCTTTTAAAAGAACACCTGGACACAGTAAAGGACTAAAATGGGAATGGGGGTGGGAAGAGAAAGGGCAAATGTCTGCCCAGCTGTCTTTGCTGCAGAGAGTAAACATTTTAGACCCGTGGCGTATGATTTCTGTTGTAATTATTCAACCCAGCATTAGCAGTGTGGCAGCACCCACAGAAAGTATGTGAATGAATGAGCAAGTCTGTATCCAACAAAGTTTTATTAAAGGGCACTGAATCGCAAATTTCATCAAGTTTTTACATGCCACACTAATTATTATTCTTTTGGTGGGGAAAGGTGGGGCAAGGGTGTTAGGCCAAACTCAGTAGTGCTGGGGGGGCTACTTCCAGCAGTGTTGGGGGCGAGGGTTTTCCCAGCAGTGCTAGGGATCAGGCCCAGGACTCCTGCATGCATGGTGCACACTCAGCCCACTGAGCTCTCTCCAGCCCACATTATTAGTGAAAATGTGTATTTAAAAAAATAATATAAAAATGTAAGATACATTCCTAGTTCATGGGCAAGACAAAAATAGATTGTTGGCTTGACTTTGCTCGTGCTTTACTGTTTGCTAACTCTTGCTCTGGAATTCATTCTAAACTGATAATCAAGACTGGGGTGTGGTGGGGAGGATGAGAGGGCACAGTCCATTGGGAGTCACCACAGCGTCCAATATGCTGGACGGGCTAGCCCAGGCACACTGAAGAATCTCCAAATATTAGCTGAACTCAGTGTTTCTTTTTTTTTTTTCTTTTTGGGTCACACCCGGCAATGCTCAGGGGTTATTCCTGGCTCATGTACTCAGGAATTACTCCTGGCGCTGCTCGGGGAACCATATGGGATGCTGGGAATCGAACCCGGGTAGGCCATGTTGGCTGCGTGCAAGGCAAACGCCTTACCCGTTGTGCTATTGCTCCAGCCCCTGAACTCAGTGCTTCTCGCTGTGTTTTTTCCTGCCTGTACCCCGCTTCCAACCTTGCTTCCCCTCAGTTTATGTGATTGTCACCCAAACAGAGCTTCTATGGTTCCAGGACGAGAAACATTGCAAAAGAGACAAGTATCAAAATTGTTTGGTTTAGTTCTTTGCTAATCCCCCACTTTAGACCCAGAAGAACCACCAATTGCATCCAAGCATAATATTCACAATCAAAATTCAAATACATACTCAGGGAATTCCTCATGAACTAAAAGTCACAGGAAACAGTCGAAGAATTCAGAATTGTAGACAGTAGAATTATGGAGTATGGATGTGAATATAATGTTCTAAGAAATAATTCCAGGAATAACAAAATGCTTAGGAATAAAGAGATGAATTTAGAAGGGAAATTTAGAAGGATTTGAACTGCATAGCGCAACTGTTCAAATTAAGAAAAACTTGACTGAAAAGAAGAAAAATAGTAATTTATAAAGATAATCTGAAGACAGCATGAAATCTAACATACATCTAATTGAAGTGCTTCAAATAGAATAGGGAAAATGGCTGAAAATATTTTAAAACAATGGTTGTGAACATTCTAGCTTCACTAAAACCAGGAATCTACACCACATAGCCAAGCAGAGAAAGTAAATGAAATCCATGTCCAGATCTGTGTGACACGCTGCAAAGCACCAAAGAGACAGTCATCAGAGGAAGAAGAGATACCGTAGGTTATTGCTTCCTGGAGTGTACAGTATCCCTCAGGGATCTCCAGATCAATCCAGGAGTGCAGTAAAATCCTGGGCTACAACTGGAGGTCGGGCTGTTTTCTTTCCATTTGTCACTTAAAGTAGGTTGATTTCCTGGGGGGGTGGGGTGAGGATTAGAGGCTTTTTCCTGAAAAGGGGGCACTAGGCCAAGGGAGTTTAGAAACCTAAGATCTAGGACTACAGTCTTAAAATAGCAGGCATCAGAGAGAGCAACGTCAGTATCTTTCAAGTTTTGAAAGAACAAAATACCATCAAATCTAAAACTGTCCAGCAGAAGAAAGTGAAACTGCTATTTATTTTAAGATGGACTGGCTGTTGAAATTGGGGCTGAAAACTGGGGCTGAATTTTTTTTTGGGGGGTAAAGGGTCAGGTAATTTGAGGCTTGAATGGGCCCAATGATCTCTAGTGCAACTACTCAACTTTTCATAAATGAATGGGTATGACTGCATTTCAAAAGAAGTACTGGCTAAAGTCGGCCAAAGCCTGGTATAGAAAGAAAATCCAAAATAATACTGTAAAATAATAAAAAAAATTAAAACTAGCTTAGTGAGTAGTTATAAAATCAATATATCAAAATCTTTCATTGGTACACACCAAAATCGACACACACACACACACACACACAAACACATAAACACATACACATTTTGCTTTTTGGGTCATACCTAGATGCTCAGGGGTTACTCCTAGCTCTGCACTCAGGAATTACTCCTGATGGTGCATGGGATGCTGAGGGACTGAACCCAGGTCGGCCATGTGCAAGGCAAACGCCATACCCTCAGTACTATCACTCTGGCTCCAAGTCAAAATTTTAATTTAAAAGAATACCATGTTTAATAATACTTGGAGATATCAATAATCAAATGTTAAACCAAACAAAACAAAACAAAAGTAACAAAACTTGATGAACAACTTAACTGGAAAGGGGGATGGTGACATGCCCCCTCCCCAAAGTGTCCGGGACGGAAATTTCAGGCAAGGTCTCCAGAACAAGGGGCTGAAATCAGAGACTGTGAGGAGCAATCAGGTAGTGCTGTGACTTGTAGGCACCTGGGTTTCACAACACCTCCCCCCAACCAGAAAGTGGGCATCTGGCTGAGGCTGGCTCTGGGTACCAAGTCTCACCCACACAGGGTCAAAGCCACAGGTGATTTTTCAAGTGCCTCCAGAAAATTGTAAATTTTAATGAGACAAATAGAGAAAGAGTTCCATGATCACATTATAAAGCTGTTCTATCTTCATAAAACAATGCAGTAATAATCAAGCCTCCAGAAAGATTTCTTGTGAAACCTGTAAGACCAATTCTAAAATCAATTTGGAAGAGCAATGGCCAGGACCTACTGAGATATTCTCACTGGGATATACAGAGTACGCAGAGACACATACCTTAGAAAATACCAAAGAGGTGCATATGCTGCCCGAGCCCATGTTGCCTGCATCTCCCCTCTCTTTTTTTCCTTTTTGGGTCACACCCTGTGATGCTCAGGGGTTACTCCTGGCTCTGCACTCTGGAATGACTCCTGGCGATGCTTGGGGTACCATATGGGAAGCCGGGGATCGAACCCAGGTAGGTTGTGTGCAAGGCAAATGCCTTCTCCACTGTGCTATCGCTACGGCCCTGCATCTCCCCTCTTGAGATGTGTACTTCATGCTTTCCTGTCTAATGCTAGAGTGTGTATAGGGGCTCTCTCTGCCCCTGGAGAAACCCATGTTCTCTCTTGAGCGCGTTACTCTCTCCCTCACTCTCTCCCCCTCCAAAACCCTCCAAATAAAACCATTTTACTTCAAAAAAAAAAAAGAATAAAAGAGAAAAAGAAAATATCAAAGAGTACCAAGCTAATTATGACAATTAGGTTTCAGTACAGGTATAGATTAAATTGCATGAATGAAATACAGAGTTCAAAACCAGAGAACGAGCATATGGCCTGGGTTTGCTCTCCAGCACCACGCTGCTCTACGAAATCACGGCCGTGAGCAATCCAGCAAGCGACCGGGGCAGACCCTGAAACACCACTGGTGTGTGATCCTCAACACCCCCAACTCCCCATGAAACAAAAATAAACCCAGAAAGAAATGAAACCTTGAAACAAGGCAAAGAAATAGATAAATAGGGAAAGGAGGAACAATTCATTAAAAATATCCTAAATTTAAATTAAGTGTTGATAATAAAAAATATCTAGATTAAAAAAGCTATTTCCTACAAAAGACTAAATGTGACAAATTTAATATATTGATTTCCACTGGAAAACAACAGGCATCCAAACTAAAACCAAAGGTTCAACTAAATACTCCTAAAACACACAGACACAAAAATACCAAATGAAGTCACCCAAATCATGTATCTGTAACACAACTAGGAGACAAGTTATATTTCAAACTTCAGGGGCAAGTAAAGTAAGTACCTAAGACTAGAAATGTCAACCAGAGTCCTCACTGGAAAAAAAAATCAGAAAAGAAATGTATGAAAGAAGAGGATACTGATAGAGTGGTACAGAGACATAGACCAATCAGACATTAAGTGACACCTACAAGAAGTATCCTTCAAGGTCTGATGAAAGGAAAAGAGGAGAAGGTAAATGCTCTGCTGAAATAAAAATCACAAAATCTAACGTGAAAGAGTGAGGTAAAGAAATTTTGTAAAGAAACTACATTAGGTTTAGTAAAGAAGCTACATTTCACCATACTGACAGAAGAGGGCATTCTTAAACTAAGAAATTGAGAGAGTTTTTCTTCTTGCTCCTATGAAATCACTCATAAGTCGCATTTTAGGACATAGGAAGACATTTGACTATAAAACAGAGGTACATAAAGATTCAGCATATAGTTTAGAACATATTTACGAGGCCAGAGTGATAGTACAGCAGGGAGGGAGGGCATTTGTCTTCCACATGGCTGAACTGGGTTCGATCCCCGGCATCCCATATGGTTCCCTGAGTACTGTCAGGAGAAATTCCTGAGTGCTGAGCCAGGAGTAACCTCTGAGGATTGCTGGGTGTGATGCAAAAAGTTAGAAAAAAAAAAAGACCATATTTGTACAAAATTAAAGGACTAGTGCTGAGGCTCCCAAACTTACTTTCTATAAACAGACTCCAAATCTTTTTACTTGGCTCTCTTTAAGAACCTTCCCATTGCACCAGAGGTTACTACCATCCTCTCCTCCATCATTCCTGTGCTCAAATGCCTAAAAAGTGCAAATGCCTCACGGATCTAAGAGCCTGAATTTGCTCCCTGGCAGTATGTAACCTGCTGCATAGTGTCGGGTACAGCCCTGGGGAAAATCAGCTCTGCAGCTACATAATAAACCTGGGGCAAGAGGTGGGAGACACACATCATTCTTCACACATACTATTTCAAGGCAATGGGATTAGAAAGGCAAGACACTCAAGCTGTTTTTCAACTATCTATTGTTTGACTTGTGACAATGAGCCTACCTCTTATTAAAAAAAAAAAATCAATTAGTCATTTCAGTTTTTTTCATTAGTAAGAAAAGCATCACTTAGTTTTACAAAAATGTCCAGTTAATGAAAAAAATTTAGTTTAAATTCACAACATGCCCACTGTAAAAGTACTGTTCCTCATCAATTACATTACAATCCCTATAATAAACATTAGGCTGGAAAATTCGTCATGCATACCATCTATATTTATGATATTTCATAATTTCCTGAAACAAACCTTGAGTCAATATGCTTTTCTATAGGACACTGTAATTTTCTTCTTTTATCTGGGGGAGGGTCACACCTGTTGATGCTGAGGGGACCAGGCGATACAGATCAACTCAGGCCTCCAGCGTACAGGGCCTATGTACGAGCCCTTTGCACTATTGCCCCAGCCCCAAGACTATAATTCGATAACATGCCACCTCAATCAAAAAGTATAGAATAATGATGTGGAGAGGATGTCAAATGCTAACAGTATTACCACTGGTTGATGGAGTAAATAGCATGAACAGATACTCTAGTTACATTTGTTAATTGGAGTGACTCTGAATGTTACAAAAAATCTTCTCAATGTCTAATCTGAAGCTGTGTATATGCTAGGTTCAGGAGCAGCTGTAGATAAGACAATAAAAGATATGTGGAAAGACTAGGCTTTCAGTTTGCCTATTAATTTTCATCAGAATAGGCTGGTGTCTATATTACTTACTCCAGTCTCTTAAACATTCTGAATCCGTCAAGCAAAACAAACCTAATCCCATTACATTTTATCACTAGGCTTTATACAAGAAGTAACAAAATGAAGGTCAAAGAAAATAACCACTGGCTATGGGAGATGTGAGCTGAAAGTAGTCTATAGATCGAACATGATGGCCACTCAATACCTATATTGCAAACCACAACACCCAAAAGGAGAACGAGAGAGAGAGAGCAAAAGGGAATGCCCTGCTACAGAGGAGGGGGGGGGATAAGGTGGGGGTGGTGGGAGGGATACTGGGATCATTGGTGGTGGAGAATGGGCACCGGTGGAGGAATGGGTACTCGAACATTGTATGTCTGAAATGTAAGCAAAAAAGTTTGTAAATCTGTAACTGTACCCTATGGTGATTCATTTAAAAATAAAAAATTAAATATTAAAAAAAAGAAAATAACCATAGCAAAACACATCATTTTATACATAATTAGCAATTAATTAATTCACCCTTACTTATCTGTTAATTACTTAAATCATGTTTACCTTAAAATGAAAGTTAAGATAGCAATAGGGCATCTTACGACAGAGGGTCAAAGATAAGGAATTTACAACAATTTTAGACAGAATGGTGTACTGGTCAGTCCCTAAACTCCAAATTTGGATGTTTTTGCTTCATGTGATAAAAAGAATATTATCACATACAATATTAGTTGGGAGATGACCCACAGATGATCCAAGAAGCTCCTGGCAGTGAGCTTTTATTAGCATGGGGGACTGGGAATAGGCAGAGAAGATTGGTCCTTGGGTGACAACAGCAGGCTCGAGGCAAATTCCTGGTTCTGCACTTAGGGTATCACTTCTGGGGGGGCTTAGGGAACTATACAGGGTGCCAGGGAATGAACCCTGGTCAGCTGCATGCAAGGCAAGCACCTTACCCTGTTTTATCCCTCAGCCTCTTACAATGGGCTATGAGGACTCTGGTTGAGATATTCTGATTTAGAATAAATGAGGGTATGTACACAAGTTACATGTGAATACATAACTCTATATAGCTTATAAAAGGGATTGAACATCTATAAATTTTGGTATTTTCAGGGGCCCTGGAGCGAATTTTTCATGGATACTGGTGGAATATTATATAATTACTAGAATCTTTATTTTCAAAAAGTCAACTACTCAATTGTAGAATAACAACTGATTTGTCCTTTCTTCCTTGCCACAAGGAGCTTCAGTTTATCAAGTTACACCCATCACAGTGCTCCCGAGTCACTCCCATTCCTTTGTTTATCTGTAACCACTATTCTATGATCTCTTCCCCAACCAGTTAATCTGCTTTTCCCCCTAATCAGACTCTGTTAATTTGTAAGGTCAGATCCTTCTAGGACACTGAACTTATAAGTTAATATTGCCTTTTTCCTCTTCTTATGTCTTAATGTCCTTTTTATATAGATACAGGAAGACAGTTAATATTATGCTTTTGTAACTTGGGATTTAATTGGCTTCAAATATTATTCATTCCCTGGCATCTGCTTTCTAGACTTAAGTCTCAGTTGCCTTACTTCCTAGCACCCCAAAAGCAGGGTCCTGATGAGGGACTGAATGGACCCAGGGCAAGTTGTGAGCTACCCTGGCATCAAAATGGGCCAGGCCAAAGTGCCACAATTTTTTATTTTTTTAACTTTTATTAGTGAAACACCATGAGGTACAGTTGTAGACTTTACAAATTTTTGTGGTTGGGTTTCAATTATACAATGATCAAGTACCCATCCCTCCACCAGTGCCCATTTTCCAATACCACTGATCCCAGTATCCTTCCCACTCCCTATCCCCCATCTCCCCCTGCCTCTGTGGCAGGGCACTCCCTTTTGTTCTCTCTCTCCTTTTGGGTGCTGAGTGCCACGATTCTTAACTATAAGTTAAGAGCTTGATCATGGACAAATGCTGTAATGATCCAAAAGTAACGACGAGACTAGGGATAGTAACGACTATCCTGCTAGGAATAGGAAAGACTATCTGGCCTGAGCACTGTAGT